CTTGAAGCTGTCATTGACAACAAAGGCTTTTGTATTAGATAAATTTCAGTAAGTGTGTTCAATACTTTTTCCATGTGCCATTCCACATTATTACAAATAACTTCATTTCTGGACATTTATGGTTTGATTTCTTTGTATGTATGGATCACTTGGGTTGTTACCAACATCTGGTGAAAATTTCATTTCATTAGCACCTCTAGTAATACATTTACTGAGAAAAATGGTGACGTGTTCAATACTTATTTTACCCGCTGTATATATTTCTGCTTTTATTTATAATTATGTCAGTGTCAGTCCTCCATACTGCAGAACTTGGAAGGTTAATCAATGACTGAATCAGGTGTGTTGGAGCCAGGAAAAACGTAAAACATGTAGGGCTGTGGCCCTTGAGGACCAGGATTGCCCACCCCTGGTGTAAAGTAAAAATATGTGTGTGTTCTGATGTTGTCACACCAAAGAAATATGTGTTAAAAATCACCCAACCAAGTTTGAACAATTAAAAATACTGTTAACCTTATAAAATTATGTGTTAAAAGTAATGAAAAAATATCAGCTGTGGTCTGAAATGCTGGGGGCGTGTCCGCTGGAGGAGCTCAAACCACGCCCACGACCCTGAACATTCCTGTAACCGAGGAAACAATGTTTGTTTTCTTTTCCATTAGAGCAACAGGGGGTGGGGTTATACTGAAGGCAGCTGCGTGACATCACGAGGCTGCCCTTTAAGACACGCCCAAAAAATCCTGAAACACAGATACCTTGTTACACAAATTGAATCATATCTCCACTATTCAAATATCCACAGTTGAGATAATTTGTACTCATTTACTACAATCCATTTATGACATTTATAATGTTTAAAAAAGAAAATGTTGCATTTTACTTTACACGGTCTTTAACTTATTTTAAATAAAATATAAATTAATTTTTTGAACTCTTAACTGTTAAAAAAATCAATGTTTGTTTTTGTATTTATGTGGTTCTATTCCTAAATAGGTAGGGGAAGTGAAAAAGGAAAAACCTGGGTACTCAAGAGGATAAAACTGGGGTGGGGGCACTGGGGTGGCCAGCTTATTCCCAAGGGGGGCCATGGCCCCCCTGCCCCCCCTGCTAGCGCCCCTGGTAACAAAATTTTCTGATTGACTGTATTTGTATTACAATCTCTACCAGGCTGGAAGTTTGGCACTCTTGGAGGGCGTTCTGGTCTTTTCCCAGAAGACATCACACAGCCATCTGCAGCCCCGGACTACCACTGCCTTCACCTGGATCAAAGAGACATCAGGAGGAAAAGCATGAGGCGTCCGAAGGCTGTCAGTCCACATGAGAACGCTTCTCCACGTCCCATCAGTCCACCTGAGAACACGTCTCCCCTTCCCATCAGCAGAACCAGCAGACACATGGGCAGTACTTATTCAGAGCCCCCCAGGAGCGAGGCCTCAGCACCAGGTTCCTTCCAGAGATCAGGACCCAGCTCAGTTCAAGGCTCAGCCCATGGGTCAGAGAGCCTGCCAGCTATGGCTGAGTTTGCTATGAAATACTTCAGGTACATAATTTTTTTTTTACTGTTGAGATCAGTATTCCAAGGTTTAGGATCATGCAAGATAGTAAAACTAATTTTGTTCTACCATGATTTGTTGATTAAAGAGTCGGAGCAACAGGTGTTCCAGCCACTGGAAGAAATTTTTTGGAAGCAGTTCAACACATAGAGGTAGGAGTCTACACAAACTCTGAAGTCACATCTTATCCATCTGTTCAATGATGGCAGTCTAATTATGGTACAAAAGAGAAGCAAAATTCATATCATGCAAATCTAAATATAAGACTCTTTCACCTTCAAGCCTTTTCAACTAAAAGGACATAAACATGATTTTTACTTTTAAATTGTGTCGGTCATACAGTTAGGTCCATATATATTTGGACACTGACACAAATTTTGTATTTTTACCTGTTTACTGAAACATATTCAAGTTATAGTTCTATAATGTACATGGACATAAAGTCCAGACATTCAGCTTTCATTTGAGGGTATCCACATTAAAACTGGTTGAAGGGTATAGGAGTTTCAGCTCCTTAACATGTGCCACCCTGGTTTTAAAGGGACCAACATTAATTGGACAATTGACTCCAAGGCTATGTCATGGACAGGTGTGGGCAATCCCTTCGTTACGTCATTCTCTGTTAAGCAAATAAAAGGCCTGGAGTTGATTTGAGGTGTGCTGCTTGCATTTGGAAGGTTTTGCGGTGAAGTAAACATGTGGTCAAAGGAGCTCTCCATGCAGGTGAAACAAGACATCCTTAAGTTGCAAAAACAGAAAAAAAAAACATCTGAGAAATTGCTACAATATTAGCGGTGGTGTGCAGCACTAATCCAAAAATTAGCTCCGCAGTTTTTAAAGCGCTTATGAAAATATTTAGGTCCGCAACTTCAAAAGCACTTATGCCAAAGAAAAACTAGCGGAAGCTAATTTTAAAGTGCAAGTTCAACTTGACACTTGCTAGCTGGCAATAATTCTTGTACAATATACATGTATACACAACACTGCCAATTCACTAGCAAGGACCACACCATGGTAAGAGTTTAAATATTTTATTGAAGAAAGGCGTCGAAGGGTAGTGGGATGAATGATGAGGCATCTGAGGAGGTACTGTACGTCGAAGGAGGCTTGAGGAGAAGACTCAGAGTGGGGCATGGTCTCCAGGAAGGATGCTTCCCTGAGCCTGCTTTGGACCACCCAGCTGGAACCCCCAGCTGGAACCTGAAAAGGAATGGATTAGGAGGTAGTTTGAGATAGGGATGGAGGAGAAAGAACCAGAGATGGAGGGATGAAGGGGTGTGAGGAGGGGAAGAAGGGATGAGGAAGGGATGAAGAGACAAGGGAGGGATGAGGGGGGATGAAGGGATGAGGGAGAGATGAAGGGATAAGGGAGGGATGAAGGGACGAGGGAGGGATGAAGGGATGAAGGGATGAGGAAAGGATGAAGGGATGAAGGGATGAGGAAAGGATGAAGGGATGAAGGGATGAGGAAAGGATGAAGGGAGCAAAGAAGGTGACGCAATGAGGCCTTACAGAGGGGCTTAAAAGTGGAGTGAAAGGGGAGGGTGGGTGTCGAGATGGTGAGCTAAGGGCAGAACACCAGATGAGGCGAGTTTAAATAGACGCTGACTGATTGCTGCAGGTGAGAGGCGCGGTCCTGCTCCCGAACCTAAGTTAATGTCTTAACTTCATGTAACAGTGTAACACAATGTGTTACTAGTTTTATTAAATTTAAAGTATTGTCAAACAAAACCATCTACTTAACCATATATTTACCTACAAAAAAAAGAAAAGATATAATCCTTACTTAACTCCTGACAAAGAAACAGAAAAGTCATGCTCGAACAAAAAGGATCAATTTTTTACCTCCTTCAATTAGTACTCCCTGTAACGTGCGAGCTATGAGGGCTGGAAACCTGCACACTGAGAACCAGAGACTTAAATAACTTTGGAGCAGGGGAACTTGTCTCCATTTATTCAAAGAACTCTCCTCTCTTCTCTCCATACAGGGGAGGAAAAACAAAACAAAAAACTATCAGGGTCAACATGGCTACAACAAGAGTACTGCCCTTTTTTTCAAAGTCAAAGCACACAATATAAAACTCTCTTGTTTATACTATTACAAAAAGTGACTTACGATGGTGCAGATTCACAAATCTCCAACACCTATTTCAAACCTCCATCTCTGTGCAGCAGCATGCAGGATGGTGTCATCTGTAGGTGCTGGTTTTCACTGGTCCAGACTGCTGGCTCCAAAGGGCCATTCAAAGAGTTACACCTGTTCACCACCTATAAACAAGACACACACACACACACACGTTAGGTACAGAAAACAAGGGCACACCCAAACTGCTAAATAAATAAATACAAAGGTGCCAGTCAGTCTGGTCTAAAATGTAATAAAACCAATAACATAAAAAATATAAAAAACAACATACAGACACAATGTGACAAATCTAGAGGAGAAAACTTTTTTATGCTGGCTATATAAAAATAAATGTC